CTAATTCTTTCTTCTAGTACCGCAACACAGATGACATTAACTATGCTGCTCTGAACTTTTCCACTAAAAGAGGTCAGAGAAAAAGAACCTTAGAGGAGACAACGTACTCTGTACCGACATTGCGAGACAAGATCTGAAACTTATAGCTGCTGATTGTCTAAACATACCATAATATTTAACATAATATCCAACTCCAGGAGTGCATTAGTAATATTCCATATTTGTGTCTCTAATGATAGAAACTGCCTATGCATGTCTGTGCTTATCCTGCATCGTGTTAAACGTGTTTTTTCTTTCAAGAAACGTGCTGCGAGTGTTAACATTAACACTTCTGGGAGATGACGTGCAAAATTATATAAAAGCATAACCACATCCTGTAAAGGTGTAACTAGATGTGAAAGTACTGTGTTCATCAGCTTGAATAAACCTCGCAACTAATTAGATTTAGGTCAGTCTTCTAATTCGGTTATTAATCTCTAACACAATATGTTTACTTCCTCTATGACAGAGCATGCCATGTTGAATAGTGTTTCCCATAATGCAATGCACTCGATTTGACCTTCCATTTCCAGTGTTAGGAATGTAATAGAAAAAATATCAAATATACTATTTGAACATGTACTTCTTTAATCATTATTTGATCAGACAGACAATAATTAAATTCAACAGAATGTGTTTTTAGCTTCAGAATGTTTTAATTCATGTTGACTGGATGTTTTAACAACATTTTTAAGTTAACAAGAGTTTTCAATTTCCAAGATGACAACTGGATGCCATTTGCAGAAACATGCAATATGATGAGGTCATGTGACAACAATGTAGCATACTACTATTATAAGCTACCAGGTGATGGCAGTGAGGGATCACAAATAGAGAAAAGCACATAGATATTTTTATCTTGATTTCCAACATATTATGCTCATGTAAAATCACTTACACAATATTCTTTCATCCTTCATCATGCAAATGCTTTTATTTAAAGATTTACCATAGCAAGACTTCATTTGCATTCATTTGAATATTTGAACACACCTGTTGTTTATTTTATGTTCATTCCTTTTACAATATAAATATAATTTCTTTCAGGGATTAAAATCATGGGCTTGTATTCCAAATCTTGAAAAAAATGTTAAGCAGTTTCCACTAAGAAATTCCAAGTGGATATTTTTTTGTTGTTTGTTGCACCACCACTGAATATGTATCAATATCAGTTATGCATGTGCTGTAAAGTGTGATATTTTCATCAAAATATTTTTTTT